ATTTACTCGTTCCGTAATACATCATCTCACAACTAATATATTAGTTGTAATGCTTGCAAGGCTTATGTAATGTGCATTACCGAGAGGGCCCAGAGATACCTCTCCGACAATCGGAGTGACAAATCCTAATCTTGAAATACGCCAACCCAACATCTACCTTTGGAGACACCTGTAATGCTCCTTTATAATCACCCAGTTACGTTGTGACGTTTGGTAGCACCCAAAGTGTTCCTCCGGCAAACGGGAGTTGCATAGTCTCATAGTCATAGGAACATGTATAAGTCATGAAGAAAGCAATAGCAACATACTAAACGATCGGGTGCTAAGCTAATGGAATGGGTCATGTCAATCAGATCATTCATCTAATGATGTGATCTCGTTAATCAAATAACAACTCTTTTGTTCATGGTTAGGAAACATAACCATCTTTGATTAACGAGCTAGTCAAGTAGAGGCATACTAGTGATTTAGTCAAGTAGAGGCATACTTGTAGTTCAAGGCATAGTCCACTATTTAAGTTATGATTTAGTGTAGCATAAATCTCTAAATGGAAGTTCAACTTCATAGTCTCCATTAAGCACCGGTATATAAACAATGTTTTAGAACTAAATGATGAGATGTGCCAATGAGACTTTGTGGGGGATCGTTGGAATTTTGCTAGTAGGCCTTTGGCCCAAAGCCCAACTAAAATTCTGAAATTCTCTTGGCCCATTCATGCACACATGTTAGTTCAGTGAGTGAGACTAAAGTTTAGTCCCACCCCGGAAGTTGAGAGAGAGTTGCACCTCTTTATAATGTGAGCTCTTCTACCACTTGTATGAGCATGAGAGGAGGAGACCTACACGCGCGCTCCTCCTCCTCACTCGCCTCGCCACGCCTCGTCACGACGCGCCGCGCCGCGGTTTGCGGGATTGAGCCGAGGATAGAGCTATGCACTATATTTTTGCTGCTCGGGAAAAATTAATGAGTCATTAATTAATAATTAATGGATGCGTTAATTACTAAACCGTTTCTGATTCTTTTGAATCCTGACGATTCGGACGTGGGGTTTACTCCCACGACCTACCCGGCCCGCACTATATAGTCAGGCAGACGTCTACCCTAGCCGCCGCCGCTTCGTATGGTTTCTCACCACCGTTCCAGATCATTGCGCCGCCAAGCAAGTCTTCTCCATCCCTCCTTTCGGTGTGCACCGGGAGAAGGGACAGCAGGCCTCCGGAACCCCGCCTCTCGTGATCCTGTACGGGAGAGAGGCGATCAGATTTTTGGGGAGCGCACTCGCGCGACTGCTGGCAGCGACGACTTCGCGAACGACGACTTCTTCCCCGACCTTGGCAAGCTCATCCTCGACGACATGGGCGACAACGTCAACGCCGGCGTTGCTGCTCCCGCTGCACCGTATGTGATTCTATCCTTCCTGTTCGAGATCGTGGTAAAATTCACGTTTCTAGTATGTGTCCTAGATGTGATCTGTTCATCTACTATACTAGTTCGCATGATTAGTTTAATCTCTGCTATTGCTGTCATAATTTATTTTCTATTTATTCGGATTAAATCTTGTAGTAATTTGCTCATATTTCCAACAGGGAAGACGTGCCTGGAGCGGCAGTTCACGTCCAGGAAGTTCGTAGAGGTGCACGATCTCACCATCGGCGTTGAGTTCGGCAGCCGCACCATCAACGTGGACGACAAGCGCATACAGCTTGACATCTGGGACACGGTGCGTGCAGGCTATTTACCCTAACTTCCTATGTTGTCTGGCTTCTGTTGCTTGCCACTAGGTGTCATGATCTGGGAGGAAGAAAAAAAAATCTGCGAGGAAGAAGATTGCTGCTGTCCTAGTGTCACAGTTGATCCCTCCTCTTAATTTGTACTCCCTCCGTATCAAAATATATGACGTTTTTGCAGTTCAATTACTAAAAAACGTTTTATATTTTGAGACAGAGGTAGTATTACTTGGAAATTTACACTACAACACAGTAAATATATTGTTTATTCGAATTGTAAAGACTAGTTGTGACACTATTTAATTCAAACATAATGCTTATGACGTTCTTAAGCAGCATAATATCCATCTCATATTGTTGTATATATCTTGACTTTGCAGGCTGGCCACGAAGCATTCGTACCTATTACTAAACAATTCTATGGCACCGCTGCTTGTATCATTCTGGTTTATGACATCACAAGGTACCTGAATTGGTTTTCAATATATCTGCCTATGGTGCTAACTTCGTCCATCGATCGTTCTTACACTTCATCACTTACCTTCTCTACTTCAGGAGGGAGACTTTTGATCATATTGCTGTATTGCTTGAACGAGCAAGAGAGCTATCGAGAGCCGGCGTAACATTGGTGCTGATCGGAAACAAATGCGATCTGTCTCACATGCGCGCGGTCAGCTATGAGGAAGGGCGAGAGTTCGCCGAGAGGCACGATCTCGTGTTTATGGAGAGGCCTCTGCAAAAACCACACAAAATGTTGATGAGGTAATTTTGATCCCCTATAAATCACACCTCCTTTAGATTAATTTTACATCATTATGTCATGTAGGCATTCATTCCGACGGCTGAAAGAATATGCAAGAAAGTCCAAGATGGCGTCCTCGACTTACCTGAAAAGGTCAGTTTAAGTGCTTGCCTTGTCCAATATGCAGGCAAGGCAAAAGACTGGCTATCAACTGGTTGGCACCCAACTTAGGGCCTCTTTGAGTCGCGGGATTTTGAAAATGTAGGAATATGAAAAGTATAGGATTGGGGTGGCATGTCAAACTGAATCTTATAGGATTAGCAAGAAGTGTTTGATGCCACATGAAAAACAAAGGAATTGTAGAAAGAGGTTGGAGTGGATGTTAGATTTCCCATAAAATGTAGTACAAAAGATTCCATAGAAAAAAATCCTATGAGATTCAATCCTATGAATCAAAGGGCCAACATAGGAAAAAATCTTAAGGATTTCAATCCTCCAGAAATCCTATAGAATTCATTTGAATCAAAGGAGCCCTTACTTTGCCAGTCTCTCGAAACTTGGCAATCTTTGGAGTCGTCAAATCTTGGCATGCCATTATGCTGGATAGCCAATTTTTGGCACAAAATGGGTCAATGGAAGTAGATGAAGAGAAATCCTGATGATCGGTTTATGCAGAACGATCCTTTTGAACTTGCTAACTTAGTGTGTGGTGTATACAACTATAACTATACTGTACCAAGATGAAATTCAAGTTGTGTGCATTGCTTTTGCTATGAACCCATCAGTTGCTTGTGTTACCTAAACCTCTGAAAACGGAAAAATCATACGCTGAAAGGGCTGAAGGCATGGATTTTAATGCTAGATCTCTGTATGGCTAGCTGTTTGTACCCTATCCTGGGAGACAACAGGATTGGTACTGTAAGGAACTCCATCAATCCTGCTTCCAGGGACGGTTCCTGCATCTATATGGCAAAGCTGTGTATACCGTATTCTACGAGACAACAGGATTGTGCAGTACATACTGTGTAAGGAACTCCATCAATCCTGCTTGACAGTCCCTACATATTGTGCGTGTCGACAGTGCAATATAAGTACCCCTTATTAGCCGCAGCCGTGCAATGTACTTACTTGCTCACGCAAATAAGTACTGGTGGCTAGGCTCGCAGTAACTTGGTTCGTCCGAATATATGCACCCGTGATAACACAACACATTCAATACCTGGAAATTCTGTTGACATCCAGTGTTTCAAAGAGGATCTTCCCTGGATCACATTGTGCACGTTGCATCTGAAAGAGTAAGGACTTGCTGTCACAACATCCCAATCCGTTTGTGTAACCTTCGTAAAACACCAACTACCCATCTAACTGAAAAGTGCCTAGAAAATGGCGTCTACTTCTTGAGATAACACTCGATGTTTTTCAGCCACCCTACAAGCTCTGTCTGCTCCTTGTTTTCCATGTAAGTGTGCAGGTATGCTGCTAGCTCATCATTCACCCCTCTCTGCTCAAGGTAATCACGCACTGCAGTTTGCATCTCCTCATCTAACTCCCTGCTAATTGGAATGACCAGCAAGGCAAAAAGCATATTAACATCCCATAATGCCAAGAAGGAAGCGCAACTCAAAAGAGATCGTAATGTTAAATGCTATACTGTATGTGGAAATTCAAAGAAACAATCCTGGGTTTTAACCAAAATAGCACCAGTAGCAAACGAGGAATATAAGATCCTTTTGCAATAATAATTTGTATCAAAATGAATGATGAGGAGCCAGCATTGTCATTCAGCTGCTAATGTATCAGAAATTTGCAACTGCTACATTACAACTAGTGCTAGATTACACCACTTTCTTGAACCAGAAATGCATACTGCTCTCTTGGTTGAATGTAAGGAGCCAGCATTGTCTTTCTTCAGGGGTTTTGGAGCAATTCAACTCGTGCAAGCGACATGCATTATTCATCCAGAAACAAATTTGATCTGATTTCCCTTAACACAGAACTGAAATTGGAGGAAAGTTTCATCCATACCCGCCAAGCCCGAGCATTTCATCTATCACATGATTACTTTTCCAGTCCGATAGTCACCACTAGTGTGGGTAAACAGGGAGCATGCTTGTATATGTTTTTGCACTTAAAAATTCTTTGACAAAATAACATATGTAAATGTTTGATGCTATGTGCATTGGATTGTGTGTGTGCAAAATCGTTCATTTCGCTGGCCTGTGCAAAAAGAATTAAGCCTGGTAAACAAAAAGTTGTTATATTACCCTTTCACAATTGTGATTGTTCATTGTTTGGCAGGACAACAAACTACAATTATGCACAAGAGGTCCGGGAGCCAGAAATCCTGGTCGAGTTTCTTTATAAATCATTGGTGCACTGCTAACCATACAAAAGTAGCATTGCAAGAACATGAATAATTTTTTGATTTTAACAACTCAAGCACTCTAAATACGACTGTAAATAGTAGTGTCAATATGACTACGCAATGCAATATATTTTCGTTAAAAATCTAGCACGAGGTTGAGTCAGGGTCACCTGAACTGTCGGCCCATGTATTGCTGCTCCGGCGCTGGCCCGCTGAGGCGGACGGGGAAGACCCTCTCCACGTCCATCTCCTCGGGCCAGGCAGAGCACTCGAACTTGAGCGCAAAGTCAGGCCGCGCGGGCTTGGTGACCTCGACGTGGACGCTGATGTGCATCCTGTCCTGTGGCCCGCCGTCCTCGGCGACCACGCCGGAGCGGGTGGGCGCCACGGCGCCGTCGACCATCGAGGCATCCACCCTGACCTCCTCCTCCTCCCCCTGCTCCCCGAACGCGCGGCGCAGGCGCACCCACTGCTCGCCGGGACGGTCGTCGACGGAGAACGGCGCGGCGGAGGGCGGCAGCGGCGGCGCGGGCTCGGGGCTGCAGGAGGAGATCTCGGAGCGGAGGGAGCGGAGGAGGCGGTCGAGGAAGACCGAGCGGCGCATGTCGGACATGTACGGCCGCGAAGGGACGAGGCGGGGGGCGAGCGCCTGGAGGCGGGGCCGGAGGTGGAGCAGCCGCCGGGCCATGGTGCCGGAGGTGGACGGACGGCGGCCGCCGGCGTGCCTCGGGTTTTGGGAAGGGTTTCGGAGAAAGACGGCGCCCCTTGGGGCGAAGCCGGCCGGGGCAATGATGGAAAGAAGGCGCCGTGGGCCGGAGATGCGTGAGACTATGGGCCTTCCTTTTCCCCGGCAGCGTGCAGCCCAGCTTCGCAGGAGCGCGGGCCATCCTTTGACAGGCCGGGTAACTGGGCTTCGCTTGGCTGTTTTCCTCAGAAAACCAAATCTTCACATGATTCTCAAAAAAAAATAAAAAAAATCTTCACATGGCTTCGCTTGGCTTCTGTTGCTTGCCACTAGGTGTCATGATCTGGGAGGAAGAAAAAAAAATCTGCGAGGAAGAAGATTGCTGCTGTCCTAGTGTCACAGTTGATCCCTCCTCTTAATTTGTACTCCCTCCGTATCAAAATATATGACGTTTTTGCAGTTCAATTACTAAAAAACGTTTTATATTTTGAGACAGAGGTAGTATTACTTGGAAATTTACACTACAACACAGTAAATATATTGTTTATTCGAATTGTAAAGACTAGTTGTGACACTATTTAATTCAAACATAATGCTTATGACGTTCTTAAGCAGCATAATATCCATCTCATATTGTTGTATATATCTTGACTTTGCAGGCTGGCCACGAAGCATTCGTACCTATTACTAAACAATTCTATGGCACCGCTGCTTGTATCATTCTGGTTTATGACATCACAAGGTACCTGAATTGGTTTTCAATATATCTGCCTATGGTGCTAACTTCGTCCATCGATCGTTCTTACACTTCATCACTTACCTTCTCTACTTCAGGAGGGAGACTTTTGATCATATTGCTGTATTGCTTGAACGAGCAAGAGAGCTATCGAGAGCCGGCGTAACATTGGTGCTGATCGGAAACAAATGCGATCTGTCTCACATGCGCGCGGTCAGCTATGAGGAAGGGCGAGAGTTCGCCGAGAGGCACGATCTCGTGTTTATGGAGAGGCCTCTGCAAAAACCACACAAAATGTTGATGAGGTAATTTTGATCCCCTATAAATCACACCTCCTTTAGATTAATTTTACATCATTATGTCATGTAGGCATTCATTCCGACGGCTGAAAGAATATGCAAGAAAGTCCAAGATGGCGTCCTCGACTTACCTGAAAAGGTCAGTTTAAGTGCTTGCCTTGTCCAATATGCAGGCAAGGCAAAAGACTGGCTATCAACTGGTTGGCACCCAACTTAGGGCCTCTTTGAGTCGCGGGATTTTGAAAATGTAGGAATATGAAAAGTATAGGGTTGGGGTGGCATGTCAAACTGAATCTTATAGGATTAGCAAGAAGTGTTTGATGCCACATGAAAAACAAAGGAATTGTAGAAAGAGGTTGGAGTGGATGTTAGATTTCCCATAAAATGTAGTACAAAAGATTCCATAGAAAAAAATCCTATGAGATTCAATCCTATGAATCAAAGGGCCAACATAGGAAAAAATCTTAAGGATTTCAATCCTCCAGAAATCCTATAGAATTCATTTGAATCAAAGGAGCCCTTACTTTGCCAGTCTCTCGAAACTTGGCAATCTTTGGAGTCGTCAAATCTTGGCATGCCATTATGCTGGATAGCCAATTTTTGGCACAAAATGGGTCAATGGAAGTAGATGAAGAGAAATCCTGATGATCGGTTTATGCAGAACGATCCTTTTGAACTTGCTAACTTAGTGTGTGGTGTATACAACTATAACTATACTGTACCAAGATGAAATTCAAGTTGTGTGCATTGCTTTTGCTATGAACCCATCAGTTGCTTGTGTTACCTAAACCTCTGAAAACGGAAAAATCATACGCTGAAAGGGCTGAAGGCATGGATTTTAATGCTAGATCTCTGTATGGCTAGCTGTTTGTACCCTATCCTGGGAGACAACAGGATTGGTACTGTAAGGAACTCCATCAATCCTGCTTCCAGGGACGGTTCCTGCATCTATATGGCAAAGCTGTGTATACCGTATTCTACGAGACAACAGGATTGTGCAGTACATACTGTGTAAGGAACTCCATCAATCCTGCTTGACAGTCCCTACATATTGTGCGTGTCGACAGTGCAATATAAGTACCCCTTATTAGCCGCAGCCGTGCAATGTACTTACTTGCTCACGCAAATAAGTACTGGTGGCTAGGCTCGCAGTAACTTGGTTCGTCCGAATATATGCACCCGTGATAACACAACACATTCAATACCTGGAAATTCTGTTGACATCCAGTGTTTCAAAGAGGATCTTCCCTGGATCACATTGTGCACGTTGCATCTGAAAGAGTAAGGACTTGCTGTCACAACATCCCAATCCGTTTGTGTAACCTTCGTAAAACACCAACTACCCATCTAACTGAAAAGTGCCTAGAAAATGGCGTCTACTTCTTGAGATAACACTCGATGTTTTTCAGCCACCCTACAAGCTCTGTCTGCTCCTTGTTTTCCATGTAAGTGTGCAGGTATGCTGCTAGCTCATCATTCACCCCTCTCTGCTCAAGGTAATCACGCACTGCAGTTTGCATCTCCTCATCTAACTCCCTGCTAATTGGAATGACCAGCAAGGCAAAAAGCATATTAACATCCCATAATGCCAAGAAGGAAGCGCAACTCAAAAGAGATCGTAATGTTAAATGCTATACTGTATGTGGAAATTCAAAGAAACAATCCTGGGTTTTAACCAAAATAGCACCAGTAGCAAACGAGGAATATAAGATCCTTTTGCAATAATAATTTGTATCAAAATGAATGATGAGGAGCCAGCATTGTCATTCAGCTGCTAATGTATCAGAAATTTGCAACTGCTACATTACAACTAGTGCTAGATTACACCACTTTCTTGAACCAGAAATGCATACTGCTCTCTTGGTTGAATGTAAGGAGCCAGCATTGTCTTTCTTCAGGGGTTTTGGAGCAATTCAACTCGTGCAAGCGACATGCATTATTCATCCAGAAACAAATTTGATCTGATTTCCCTTAACACAGAACTGAAATTGGAGGAAAGTTTCATCCATACCCGCCAAGCCCGAGCATTTCATCTATCACATGATTACTTTTCCAGTCCGATAGTCACCACTAGTGTGGGTAAACAGGGAGCATGCTTGTATATGTTTTTGCACTTAAAAATTCTTTGACAAAATAACATATGTAAATGTTTGATGCTATGTGCATTGGATTGTGTGTGTGCAAAATCGTTCATTTCGCTGGCCTGTGCAAAAAGAATTAAGCCTGGTAAACAAAAAGTTGTTATATTACCCTTTCACAATTGTGATTGTTCATTGTTTGGCAGGACAACAAACTACAATTATGCACAAGAGGTCCGGGAGCCAGAAATCCTGGTCGAGTTTCTTTATAAATCATTGGTGCACTGCTAACCATACAAAAGTAGCATTGCAAGAACATGAATAATTTTTTGATTTTAACAACTCAAGCACTCTAAATACGACTGTAAATAGTAGTGTCAATATGACTACGCAATGCAATATATTTTCGTTAAAAATCTAGCACGAGGTTGAGTCAGGGTCACCTGAACTGTCGGCCCATGTATTGCTGCTCCGGCGCTGGCCCGCTGAGGCGGACGGGGAAGACCCTCTCCACGTCCATCTCCTCGGGCCAGGCAGAGCACTCGAACTTGAGCGCAAAGTCAGGCCGCGCGGGCTTGGTGACCTCGACGTGGACGCTGATGTGCATCCTGTCCTGTGGCCCGCCGTCCTCGGCGACCACGCCGGAGCGGGTGGGCGCCACGGCGCCGTCGACCATCGAGGCATCCACCCTGACCTCCTCCTCCTCCCCCTGCTCCCCGAACGCGCGGCGCAGGCGCACCCACTGCTCGCCGGGACGGTCGTCGACGGAGAACGGCGCGGCGGAGGGCGGCAGCGGCGGCGCGGGCTCGGGGCTGCAGGAGGAGATCTCGGAGCGGAGGGAGCGGAGGAGGCGGTCGAGGAAGACCGAGCGGCGCATGTCGGACATGTACGGCCGCGAAGGGACGAGGCGGGGGGCGAGCGCCTGGAGGCGGGGCCGGAGGTGGAGCAGCCGCCGGGCCATGGTGCCGGAGGTGGACGGACGGCGGCCGCCGGCGTGCCTCGGGTTTTGGGAAGGGTTTCGGAGAAAGACGGCGCCCCTTGGGGCGAAGCCGGCCGGGGCAATGATGGAAAGAAGGCGCCGTGGGCCGGAGATGCGTGAGACTATGGGCCTTCCTTTTCCCCGGCAGCGTGCAGCCCAGCTTCGCAGGAGCGCGGGCCATCCTTTGACAGGCCGGGTAACTGGGCTTCGCTTGGCTGTTTTCCTCAGAAAACCAAATCTTCACATGATTCTCAAAAAAAAATAAAAAAAATCTTCACATGGCTGTGTAGAAAAACAAACTTATCATAGAGAGAAACTTCTGTATGGCTAGCCGTTTGTACCGTATGCTGCGAGACAAGAGGACGGGGTACAGTAAGGAACGCCATGAATCCTGCTCCCAGGGACGGCCGGGCATCTGCACGACAAGCTGCGTGCGCCGTGTTCAACGAGGCGAAGACGATCGCGGGGTACAGTAAGGAAGAACTCGCACCAATCACTCTTCTATTGCACTGTCCCTGCATTTGTGCGCGTCGACAGTGCAATAGAAGCAAGGACTCGAGCTCCACTCCCTCTGTCCGGAATTACTTGTCGTGAAAATGGATGTATCTACGTACGACTTGCGACTAGTCACGTAAATAAACCCACTGAGAGAGGCAACCGCTCTTGGTAGAGTACTGGCCCGTAGGCCGTAGCTACGCTCGCAGTAACTTGCGTTGGCTCGTCCGAAGATGCTTCCCTGATACTCCACCGACGGCGTCGTTTCAATTCAAAGGGTATCGTTATAAGATCACATCGTACGTGCGCGCTGCGTGCTTGCGTCTCTTCTGAGAGGGCAGAGGAGAGGCCTGCTGTGACAACATCCCATTTGTTCGTGTTAAATGATCCCTGCACTGCAACCATCGTTGGTGCAGGAAGAGAAGTAGCACCGCAGCAGCAGGGCATCACCGTCGTGTTGCGCATCGCATTGATCAGGAGACGCTGCGGTGCCAGGGTGAGATAGGCCATGGAGGAGATGGGTGGGCTGGTCGATGGTGCATGCATGCACGGGGAGGGGAGCGCGTGCTGTTGCAGCATCAGCAAATTGACCTACACGCGCCGCTGCCGCTGATTCCTGCGGTGCCGGTGGGGTGGGGTGGGGGCGGATGGCACCGGACCGGAGACAGGCCCGCGTGCACGCAACGCCGCCGGCGGGCAGAGGCATCCGGCAGCTGGTGCTCCTCGCTCCTCCACCCAACACGTCGCGTGCGCGCGTTTACACTCGACCAGATTCAGATATGTGCGGCTATCCTCTTCGGTCAGAGTTTTTCCGTAAAGGAGCCGCGATTCTGATGATGCATGCACAGAGCACAAGTTGACGACCGAAAAGGGAGCGCTTCTCTTCTTCTTCTTCTTCTTCTTCTTCTTCTTCTTCTTCTTCTTCTTCTTCTTCTTCTTCTTCTTCTTCTTCTTCTTCTTCTTCTTCTTCTTTAGCATGAATGAAACGCCCAAAGCACGGCGGAGATAGGATGGAACTCGATGCAAACCGATCATGCATCTCCGCCACCGCCGCGGAGATAGGATGATCTTACACGTCACGATGCCCACGCTAGGCCGATTCGCCTCCATCATTTGCCCGGCGATCGGGAAATAATCGTGTTGATAAGGCACGCATGGACGTCACCGATACGCCGTTCCCGGAGCCTTGTATTTGAAGTCGACATGTGCGTTCCACTAGGCCTCTCATCCCAACGATTACTACGCTCCAAAGGCCGAAAGCTGCGATGGCGCGGGCAGATTATTGGCGCGCGATTGCCCGGGAATCCATTATGATCAGCGCAAGGTATCGTACTACTACAAGATGGTATCTTTTCCTTTGTTTGTGCGGGAAGATGTCCATGCCGTTACTGAAACTGACGGGTTTGTGCTTCATCTGCACGATGGCGGGTTTCTATCCAAGCACGTATCTTGATTTGGCAACAAAAATCATGCTTTGTCGTGGACAGGGATCGGTGCCGGTGGTCCCCAGCACCAACGAAACGAGCACCCGTTCTTTGGCTGCCATGATAACGCCATCATGCAGCTCACTGCTGCACAAGTTTACTACATTATCCACCTGCGTGCAGCTCTAAGCCTGTGATATTGTTGTTATATGATGATTGCTCCACCTATAGATCTTGATCGCGTGTTGGGTTTCTGTTGGCGGCAGGCTACTAGATGGTTTTAACATGGCCCCTCTTACCCTCTCTTTTCACATGAGAGGTAAGAGTATAAAATAGATCTTAGCCGTTGATCTCATCAATGAATGGCTTGATTGACTCTTACTTTCTTACCTCACATGTAAAAAAAAGAGGTAAGAGGAACCATGTTAAAATTTGCCTTCTTAACCAGTAGCACAGTTTTGTATTACTCTCTGGCAATATGCGATTAGCAATCTAGAGTATTATGAGTAGGTCTGCTTTTGCTTTCCATCGGCGTATAGATAAAACAGACAGTGTCACCTCATTGGTCATGCCGCGACATGCAAGAAGAAGAAAACCATTGTCTCAAAACAAAAAAGATCATGCAGTAAAACCAACATACTTACACAGGAGCTGAACACGTTCACGTGGGTACGGCATGTCACATGTGATCTCGGGTAGACATGCGGCGCTGATTGGTGACCATTCTTAATTTATAGGTGCACTTTGGCCGTAGCCGTCTCATCTCTGATCGATCGATCCTGTTTGTAATGACACGATAAGTCATCTGAAAGCAGGGACATGGCCACCTTCACATCACATGCTTCTGTAGCCGCATCACTCTGATTTCTCTCATTTTTTATCACTAGTCACCGCCACGGCACTGTTGGTAGGTACCTTCACACGCCGTGCTTAACGCCGGCCGTGCGTGCGTACGTACGCATACGGAGTTGCAGTTACGTACTACGTTGCCAAGATTTTGCGCTAGCCCTAACCTTTTGCACGTGGCTTTGTTTGCTTGCGCCAGGAGACTCTCGTCTCATCAGTAGTAATATCAGTGTGGGATTTGTCAGAGGAAAAACAGGGTGAAAGTTGCTCCAGCCCATGCCACTAGCATGCATGCCTTGGATGCTTGCACCATGGACGATCACCGTATTGATTACCGGCCAAGAACCACTAGGCCGGAGATTGAGCGACCCGTGCTGCTAGCATTGGGCTCACCCTGATAGATCAATCCCACCCAATTCTCACCCTGTGTGTGTAGCTAGGTGATCGGAAGCGCCGGCGGCGGCGATCTGCTTTGGGGCGGCGTTCGAGTCCGTGGTGGCGCAGGCGGTGGTGATTCATTCGGCTGTAGACCAGTGGGGCGAAGTGGTTACCGGAGAGCATTTCTTTGGTGGTAAAATTCCACGTTCATCGCTGGTTTGTGCAGCTTAGGCGGCGTGGATCGTGGCGGCGGCTGGATCTGAGAGGCAGGAGTGGTTGCTGGTACTCTGGTGGTAAAATTTCCTCCCTCCTCCTCAGATCAAGGCGATGAGGCGCGCAGGAAGACAATAGATGACGCGGACGGGCAAGAG